AGAGGACCTTGTCCAGGTGGGTCTTGAATATCTCCAGAGAAGGAGACTCCACAACCTCCCTGGGCAGCCTGTTCCAGTGCTCCGTCACCCTCAGAGGGAAGAAGTTCTTCCTCATGTTCAGACGGAACTTCCTGTGCCTCAGTTTGTGCCCATTGCCCCTTGTCCTGTCACTGGGCACCACTGAAAAGAGCTTGGCCCCATCCTCCTGACACCCACCCTTCAGATATTTGTAGGCATTTATAAGGTCCCCTCGCAGCCTTCTCTTCTTCAGGCTGAACAAGCCCAGTTCCCTCAACCTCTCCTCGTAGTGGAGATGCTCCAGTCCCCTCACCATCCTTGTAGCCCTTGGAGATGAGGGGATGGTGCTGGACTGGGGAGCTGGGGATCAGGGGATGCTGCTGGACTGGGATGCAGTGGATCAGGGGATGCTCCTGGAGCAGGATGCTGCAAACAAGGGATGCTGCTGGACTGGGAGCCGGGAGATTGGAGGATGCTCCTGAACCAGATAGCTGGGGATCAGGGAATGCTGCTCGACCAGGATGCTGGGGATCAGGGGATGCTCCTGGACTGGGATCCTCCTGAACTGGGGAGCTGGGGATCAGGGGATGCTGCTGGACTGGGGGATCTAGGAGATCAGGGATGCTCTGGGACGGGGACACCCCGAGGTCAGTGGGTGCTGCCAGTCTGGGGAGCTGGGGGGTCCCCCTTTCTGACCTGTGGTGGTGGTGGGACAAGTGTCCCTGCAACGTGTGGGGTGGGATGGGTGTGGGGTGGGATGGGTGCCTGAGCCCTGGCCGACGGCCGCCTGCTCCCGGCAGCCGAGGAGGACTCCGGCAGCTTCTACGTCCTGCTCACCGTCACGCCCGTGGTCCTCATGGTGCTCATCTCCTGCCTCGTCGTCTTTGTCTTCTTCTACAACAAGAAGAGGTAGCGACCCCCACTGCACCCCCGGGGCTGGGCTGGGGCTGGATCCAGCTGAGCTGGGGAAGGGTGGAGGGGAGGTGGCATCGTGCCCTCGCCCCAACCTCTAAGTGATGCCCACCCCTCGCAGGAGCAATGACGGGTACCCCAGCGGGACGCTCTACGCCTCCGTCAACCCCGAGTACTTCAGTGCCTCGGACAGTGCGTAGAGATGGGCAGGGGCGTTCTTGGGGGGTCTGCTGCCTCCTTCCCTCGGTGGGGCCATGCCAGAGGGGGTATGGGGATGGAGGTGGGATCAGGATGGGATGGGGATGGGGAGGGGGCTGGGGCTGGGGCTGGATATAGAGATGGAGAAGGAATGAGGATGGAGATGGAGATGGGATGAGTATGAGGATGGGATGGGGATGAACAACGAATGAGGGTGGGGATGGGGATGGGTATGATGGGAATGGAGACGGAGACGGAGGTGGAAACGAAAATGGAGACAGAGACGGAGATGGAGATGGAGGTGGAGGTGAAGATGGAAAAGGAGATGGGATGGGGATGGAGAAGGAATGAGGATGGAGATGGAAGCAGAGATGGAGACGGAGATGGAGATGGAGAAGGGGATGGAGACAGAGACGAGGATGAGATGGTGACAGGGATGGGGACAGCGATGACGACAGTGATGGAGATGGTGACGGTGATGGCGTGGTCCCCCCTCGCCCTGCAGTGTACATCCCGGACAAGTGGGAGGTGTCACGGGACAAGATCACGGTGATCCGGGAGCTGGGGCAGGGCTCCTTCGGGATGGTGTACGAGGGGCTGGCGCTGGGGCTGATCACCGAGGGCGAGGAGACCAAGGTGGCCCTGAAGACGGTCAACGAGTTGGCCACCATGCGGGAGCGCATCGAGTTCCTCAACGAGGCCTCCGTCATGAAAGCCTTCAAGTGCCACCACGTGGTAGGCGCGCGGCCGGAGCGGGGGGGGGGGAGGTCCGGCCGCTCACGTGCCACCCCATTTGTCCCCTCAGGTCCGTCTGCTCGGCGTCGTGTCCCAGGGCCAGCCAGCTTTGGTCATCATGGAGCTGATGACACGTGGGGACCTGAAGAGCTACCTACGCTCGCTCAGGCCTGACGCAGAGGTGAGGGGCTGGCCGGGTGCCACGGCGCCCCATGGGCCAAGAGGCACCCACCTTGATCCCGGGGGGGTCCTGCTGTGTCCCCTCGAGCTCTGACTCTCCATGCACGGCACAGAACAACCCTGGGCTGCCTCCGCCGTCGCTCAAGGACATGATCCAGATGGCAGGGGAGATCGCCGATGGCATGGCGTACCTCAACGCCAACAAGTTCGTGCACCGGGACCTGGCCGCCCGCAACTGCATGGTGTCCGAGGACTTCACCGTCAAGATCGGAGGTGGGGTG